GCTCTCTTCTCCCCTCTGTGTGCCCCTCACATCTCTCTCCCTATATCATTTCCTTCGTTCCAATCTTTTTCTCTCTCCCTCTCATTCCTATGTTATATTTGTTTTATTCCTCTGCCCTCTTCTTTCTCTCTCCCTCTCATTCATACCATGCATTCCTCGGTATACATCAGCTTTATCTATTTGCACGTCTATTCATCTCACCACACGCATAAACACCAAATATAAATATTACATTTCCGATACCTTAAAACACCTAACATGACGCGAAACGATAACAACAGAATTCAGCGATGAAAAAGGAAAACATAAATAACAGAAAAAAAGGGGAACAGAACATTGCAAAAAAACGCAAAGAAAAAGATAAATAAAATGATTAGAAATATACAAAATAAAATAGAAAACGCGAATCCAGTCCTTCAAAGCCCGTTTTTATTATCATTTTTATTGGCATTATTCTTATCATTGTCTTTATCTTAAATTATTGAGAATGGACGAATGAAGAGATGTAGGGAGAAAGAGCGAGAGAGAATGAGAGAGAGAACAGAGATAGATAGAGGATAGAGAGAAGAGAGAGATTGAGAGAGAGAGAGAGAGAGATTGAAGAGAGAGAGAGAGAGAGAGAGAGAGAGAGAGAGTGAGAGAGAGCTAGAGCTAGAGAATGTGTGTGTGAGTGTGTGTGGAAAGAGATAGATGTGATAAATGAGAGAGAGAAAGGAAGATAGATAGAAAGATAGACAAGAGAGAGAGAGAGGAGAGAGATAGAAAGAGATAGATAAACAGAGAGAGAGAGAGAGAGAGAAGAGAGAGATAGGACAGACAGACAGAGAGAGAGAGAGAGAAAGAGATAGATAGATAGACAGAGAGAGAGAAGAGAAAGAGATCAGAGAGAGAGAGAGAGAGAGAAAGATGAGAGATAGACAGACAGACAGGACAGAGAGAAGAAGCCCCTCACCGCCCCGCCTCCCCTCCCCAGAATCCGGCTCCTGCTGGAAGCTCCGCCGCTCCGACGGATCCTGCGGTCGCCTCCTTCGGGCGAACGTGACGAAGGAGTCCTGCTGCTTCGGGCGTCACCGGAGGGGCTGGAGCGGCTCCTCGGGACTCCCTTCGCCGGGGTCCTTCGCCTCCAACTCCTCCAGCAGGAATTCGGTCATAAGCGACCCTCCGCCGCCGACCTGCTCGCCATGCTCCCGTGAGTCGGTTTTTGTTTTTTGTTTGATTTTTTTTTTTTAGATTTGTTGTTCTTCCTTTTTTCTTTTCCTTTTCTTTTTTTTAGATTTGTTCTTTTCCTTTTTCTTTTTCTTTTTTTTTAGATTTTTTTTAGATTTGTTGTTCTTTTCCTTTTTTCTTTTTTTTTTTTAGATTTTTTTTTTTTAGATTTGTTGTTCTTTTTCCCCTTTTTTCTTTTTTCTTTTTTTTCTGTTGACTCATTTTTTTTTGGTCCTTGGTTTGTTTATTTTTTTTTTTCTGATGACTCACTTTTTTGTTTGGTTTGTTTATTTGTTGTTTTTTTTCTGTTGACGTTAATTTTTTTTTTCGTCTTTTATTTTTTTCTATCTATGTCGATCTATCTTTTTACTTATCTGTCTATCTTTTTATCTATCTATCAATTTATCAGTCAATCAATTAATTCATTCTATCTTCAGTCAATCTATCTTTCCATAAAGCTAACAATCAATAAGTAAATCTATCTATCCATTAATAATATTAATATATATAATATATAATATATTATATATTATAATATATTATATATATTAAATATATATGTGTTGTGTGTGTGGGTGTGTGTGTGTGTGTGTGTGGGTTGTGGTGTTGTGTTGTTGTGTGTGTGACTCATTTCCTTCTTTTTAAGTTGTTTTTTATATAAAGTATTCTTTATTTCTGTTTAATTTGTTTTCATCTTATTTCATTCGTGTTTTTCTTTAATTTCCTGCTTTATGTTTTCTGTTTTATTTATTGTTACTTATTGTATACTTAAATACATTTAATGTGTTTTTGTTTGTTTATGTGTTTTTATTTGTTGTTTTATCTGAATAATTGATAATAATCTCTTTTCTCTCTTTTCTTTTTTCTTTCTATCTTTCTTTTGGGATTATACGTGGCTAACTTGTCACCGTGTTCGTTGATGAGCGGGATTTGACTTGTGTATCTTTAATTGCATATTTGTTCTCTCTCTCTCTCTTCTGTCTCTGTCTCTCTGTCTCTCGTGTCTTCTTTTCTCTCTTCTCTCTCTCTCTCTCTCTCTCTCTCTAACTTCTCTCTTCTCTCTCTTCGCTCTTCTCTTTCTCTCTTCTCTCCTCGCTCTTTCGCTCTCTCTCTCTCCTCTCTCTCTTCTCTTCTTCTCTCTCTCTCCTCTCTCTCTCTGCTCTCTCTCTCTCTCTCTCTTCCTCTCTCTCTCTCTCTCCTCTCTCTCTCTCTCTCTCTTCTCTCTCTCATCTCTCTTTCGCTCTCTCTTTTCTCTCTCTTCTCTCTCTCTCTCTTTCGCTCTCTCTCTCTCTCTTTCTTTCTTTCTTCTTTTCTTCTCTTTCTCATCTCTCTCTCTTCTCTCTTCTCTTCTGTCTGTTCTGTCTGTCTCTCTCCTGTCGTCCTCTCTCTCTCTCTCTCTCTCTCTCTCTCTCTCTCTCTCTCTCTCTCTCTCTCTCTCTCTCTCTCTCTCTCACTCACTCACTCTCTCTCTCTCTCTCTCTCTCTCTCTCTCTCTATGTCTGTCTTTCTCTCTCTCTCTATCTGTCTGTCTGTCTGTCTGTCTGTTTCTCTGTCTCTGCTCTCTCTCTGTCTCTCTCTCTCTCTCTTTCTGTTCTCTGTCCCTGTATCTGTCTCTGTCTCTTCTCTCTGTCTCTCTGTCTGTCTCTCTTTCTCTCCTAAATCTGATATTGGTTGTGATTAGCTGTTGTTATTACTGAATATTACTGACAACAGTTTTTCATCACTAGTGTTATTTTGAGATTTGGATTTTAGAATTTGAGTTTTGGAATCCATCTTTATCCATCAGTCATCCACGTTTATTCCCTTTTATTGTCAGTTATTTATTCATCACCATTCACATCCTCGCCTTAAATTCTAATGTACAATCATTGCAAGTTCGTCACTATAACCTGTAGATGTTCACAACACAACACCAGAACACGTTTGTTTCGCTGCATCATAACACCAAGAACGGTTGTAATAGCATCATCCACAGGCAAGAATAACAGTAAGAACAACTATCACAACATCTACAACAAAGGCACGGATAGTAGCAACAACACAGCATCAGCAGCGGCATCTGTCACTGCTAATCACAACATTAATAACAATTACATCACATAACAGTGGAAATTGCAACATCACAAAAAATGGAAACAGCAAAAAAATGACAACAGGTTCTATATCCTCCATCAACAACAGCAACAAAAACAATAACAACAGCGTCCTCCACCGCTGCTACCACGACAACAGAACAGTAACACCACCATCAAGAACACCACCACCAACAACAAAAATAACAACATCAACACTACTATCACCACCACCTCCAACACCACCAACACACCAAAACTGCCTCCATCACCACCGCCAACCACACCACCCACCACCACCACTCGCCTCCACCACCCCACCACCAAAAAACTGCCTCCACCACCACCAAAACTGCCTCCATCACCACCGCCACCACCACCACCTTCACCACCACCACTATCGCGCTCCACCACCACCACCACCAAAACTGCTCCACCACCACCAAAACCTCCATCACCCGCCACCACCACCACCTTCACCACCACACTATCGCCTCCACCACCACCACCACCAAAACCACCTCCACCACCACCAACTGCCTCCATCACCACCCCACCACCACCACCTTCACCACCACCACTATCGCCTCCACCACCACCACCACCAAAACTGCCTCCACCACCATAACCCCCCCCCCCCAAAAAAAAAACAAAAAAAAAAAAAAAAAAAAAAAAAAAACGCCTCTTCCACAAAATAAATGCACCCATTTATCCATGAGCCACGGCAGGTGCAGCAGAGTGGGCTCCACCCCCTGATCTGTCACCCATAGACCATCTGCCGTGCCCAGGGGGTGATGAAATGCTGGGGAGGGGAGGGGGAGGGAGGAGAGGTGGGGGAGAAAAGGTGGGAGTGGAAAGGATGGGGAGGGGGAGGAGGGAGAGAGGGAGGAGTGATAATGGGGAGGGGAGAGGGGCCGGGAGGGGAGAGGGATGGGGATGTGGGAGGGGAGAGGGGGGGGGGGGAGGGGAGAGGGGGAGGAAGGATGGGAGGGAGAGGTAGGGGGAGAAGGGTGAGGAGGTAGGGGGGAGTATGGAGAGAAATGGTGGTGAGGGGAGTGGGAGGAAGGGTGGGAGGGGACCGGAGGTGGAAGAAGGGTGGGGAGGGAGGGGGGATTGGTTGGGGAGAAAAGGTTGGAAGGGGAAAGGGATGGGGAGGAGAGGAAGAAAGGGAGAGAATTGGGGAGAAAGTGTTGGCGGGGGGGGGTGATGGGAAGTGGGAAAGGGTAAGATAAAGAAGAAGAGATAGGAGGAAGAGAAGAGAGAAATGACATAGGAGAGGAGAAGGCGGACGAATGACAATGATAATAATAATGATAATAGATAATAGTAATATAAATGATAGTGATAATAGTAATTTAAATGATAGACAGTAAAAAAAAATAGTGCTAATAATACGATTGTATAGATTGATAATGATAATGATAGTAATATTGATGCTAAAAATGATGCTAAAAAAAAAATTAATGACGAAAAATGATAATAATGAAATAAACATGATAAAAAAAAGATCTATACATCTATGAAAAAAGAAAAGAAACGAAGAAAAATGAAAAGATGAAAAAAAAAGTAGAAAAATGCAGTTACTTTATTATAGGAAAAAAAGATCACCAAGGAACACATTATAGAGGGAGGACTAAAAAAAAAAAAAAAAAAAAAAAAAAAAAAAAAAAAAAAAAAAAAAAAAAAAAATCAAATTACTCCCATTTGAGTATGATTTATGATTAGAAATACACCCGACGCAAAAAGGGGAATTAACCCATAATCCTAAGAAAGAAGGAAGTGTGTTATTAAATGCGTGATAATACGGATTTGTCGGTAATTGAGGATGATCAAAAAGTTAATTTGATTGATAAGTTGCCAATATCATTATCAACATTATCATTATCACTATCACTGTCGTTATTATTGTTATTATTGTTATTAGAGTATCATTAGCAATAGTAGTATTAGTATTTTATCATTATGATGATGATAATTATAATTTTTATCATTGTTATTATTACTATTATCATTATTTTTATGGTTATTATTATCATTATAATTATTTTTATGATTATTATTATTATCATCATTATTACCCTTATTATTATTACTTTTATCATCATGAATATTATTATCGTTATTAATATCATGAATCATTATTGTTGTTATTATTATTACAGTTATTATTATCATCAACATTATTAGTTATTATTATTATTATTCATGTTTATTGTAAATATCAGTATTATCAATTATTATTGCCAATTACTATTATTTTTATTATTATCGTTACCATTGTCATTATTATTATTATTACTATCATTACTTTTATTATTATCGTTACCATTACCATTATTATTATCATTAATATCATTATCTCTATGTATCACACTGAAGAGTCTAACGAACAAGTCCCGGATGCTAAGTGGCAAGAAACTCTCCTAATCTTCAAGGACTTTTCTTATGAATATCTTTATCAGAGTTCAGTAAAACACTCTCCTGTATCTCAGCCAAACTCGTCCGAATCCCAATGCCTTTTTGTCTCATGTTCGAGTCCAGTTCGCTACGGCTTCTGGTGGACCAAATACGGACACGGCAGGAAGTATCGCTGGTGTGGCTTCCAGTGTCTTTGATTCTGTCTGTCTCTGTCTCTGTCTCTGTTCTGTCTCTGTGTCTCTGTCTCTGTCTCTGTCTCTGTTCTGTCTCTGTGTCTCTGTCTCTGTCTCTGTCTGTCTCTGTCTCTGTCTCTGTCTCTGTCTCTCTCTGTCTCTGTCTCTGCCTCTGTCTTCTCTGTTCTCTGTCTCTGTCTCTGTCTCTGTCTCTGTCTCTGTCTCTCTGTCTCTGTCTCTATTCTCGGGTGAGATCTCGAGTTGGGTCCTTCATTTGCGGTCTCTTTCTGTTCCGAAATCGATCATTTTTATAGATCTGG